CCCAGCTCTGTTAGCACAAAATAATCTACATTTCATTGTTTAAAGAGAACTGAAGTCAACTGGCTATTGCTCACTATTACTGACTGTGGACATAATGATTGTAGATATAGTAAACTCTGTTATCTGGTAATCAACTAACCAGCAGCATATAGGGTAGGGGTGGCCCTGATTCATACCTATGTTTGTGCATCACTACTAGCCCTACAGCGTGCATGCGTAGGTGTGAGTGGGCCCCTGGGTTGTCCTGAAAATGATTGTGTATCTATTTGTCTTCATTTGCTTTTGATTACTGCATTTCAATATTAATATGAAGTCAGTACAGAGTTTATGATATGGTATAGTATGAGGTATGGCATTAGTTAGACCTGTTTTTAATAGTACCTCTCAAGCAACCAGAAACGACATTTATCCGGAATCTACCAATCCCCGTGGATGCCGGATAATGGTGGAGTTTACTGTATATAGGAAGCCACCACCTTAAGTGGCCATAATAAAATAAATCTTACAGACTCCTCCCTTCACTAAACTGTGTGGATGGACAAATTCAAGCTAGTTTTGTTTGATTCTAACATTCGATTTTGGAATGAACAGAGTTTCCTATATGAAAACCACATTGTCTGTTCTTCATCCCGTTCCATTTTTTCATCTTTTGTCGCTGTGGTCAAAATTGATTGTTGATTTGACCCCATTAAAAAATCGCAGGAACATTCTACTTGTGTATGGCCAGCTTAACGTGCAACTGGAGACTAAACTTTTTTTATGGTTTTGGTTCCAGTGGGAAGAGATTATAAAACCTGTCACGTTTGTATTGCTGTCTGGGTCCCTGTGAGGGAGATTCGCTCCTTTTATTTGTCCTGGTGATTGTTATATGAAAGTGAAAGAAACTTTAGGTTGTCACCAGAACAGGAATAGATGGGGAATCTTCCAATGGGGACACTAGTTTGGTGTCCCTGCTGACCACCAAGGATTTCCCTCTCTTTGGAGGGATTTCCTCTAACTTCCTTTTCTGGCTATTGGACAGGAAGTAAAGGGAAATCTCCCCAAACGGACACATATGGCAAAAAAGAGCTAACCGTCCCTTACATTATCCAAAAATAACAACAACAAAAAGTTTTGGCTTCTTTAAGAGTGATTGAGGAACAATTGTGCTGCTTTTCCTGAGTTTGTCTCACCGTTATTATGTAAGTACCTTGGATCTAGCTACTAGTAGGAGGTTCTGCCAAACGTTGCATGAAACACAGCATTGACAAAATATGACCAAAAAGCAATAAAAAGGGTAAAAGCCACATGAATTAAATACTTTTCTATATCACAACAAATACACTTGCTGAAAATTCACGGTGGTTCCCCTTTAAAAGAAATGAGCCCACATATGTGGAAAGTTGGCAGAGCTGAGCGGCCTGTACATACTGACACTGAAGATTAATGAAAGCTCGTTTGCTGCATTTATTTTTAGCTTTAAAGACATTTAAGTCCTAAGTGTTACATAGAAAAAGAGACAAACTGCTCCCGTAGACTGTTGTTACAATTCTAATTTGGGAGTTGGCATTCCATGTTTTTATTTATGAGTCCTATTTATCAAAGTTTGTGACATAGGCCCTGCCAGCGTAGCTCAGTAATAGGAAATTAGATTCAGACTTTTGATCATTTGATTCTGATTGGTTGCTAGTTAAAACAAAGGTCAAATCATTCCTGCTGCCCGAAACCCATGTGAAGAATTCTGCCCCAACATCGGCATAGATTGTATGAACGTTAATGGTTAAATCAAATTGTATCATGTGCAATGACTTGTTTTTCTCTTCAGTTCTTTGAAGGACACAGCTGATCATCCGATCTTGACCAATGGGTTATATCACCACCTGCAGGAGTAGGACGCAACATTACAAAACACAAAGATAACCCCCAGGGGCAACTCCTGCTAGTGGCCAACCCCCCCCCCCATCTGCAACAACTCATGAGGATTGATTAGATGAAAATCTTGGAAGGGGAGAGGTTCATCAAATCAAAATGCATTATATGCAATGGCTAGTTCTTATTTAGTAGTAGTTTGTTTTTGTTCGTTCTTCATTTGAAGTGACACTAAACTCAAAAGTTATATTTCAAAAATGCATTCAAGTACCTTAACTATTAACAAAATTGTATCTTATTTGTGTATCACTCAGCTGTAGATCATCAAATCATCTCTGAATTGGTGCTGACACTGTCCTTCTCTCTGGAGGGACTACAATCTCAGTACCAATTAGAAATCTAAACATGAGACTGCAGTCCATCACAGGAGCGAGCTTGGAGCGGTGACTACTTTACAAGACACACACAGGGATCATGGGAAACAAAATAAGCCAACCTCCAGAAGGAAGGACAGTGTCAGCACTAATTCAGAGATGATTTGAGGATCTACAGCCGAGTGATACACTAATAAGATACATTTTTGTTAATAGTTAAGAGGAGGGTTGCCACCTTTTCTTCCAGCGAAACCCAAAAACACTCTAGCGACGCACGGAAATATTTTTGGGAGAATGAGTTACGGCTTATTCATATGTACATAGAGTCACCCATTCATATGTAAATATCAGAGTCAAGACTATTTTTAGTGGGGGTCCAGTAGCCCCTGTCTTACGTTTGGTTGCCCCTGTCTGCCTGACATCATGTGTCCAGGTTTCAGCTGCCATGAAACCCAGACACAGCATTCAAAAATATTAGAGATAGCGTGATACAAAAAAGTAAGAACATTATAAAACACAGAGTAATAATATGACGAGGAAGCTTGGCGTGCCATCTAGTAAACATACGTATAAATACGCTTTTATTTTTTACATCACGTTACCCTTCACAATTTGGGCACATGTAAATGTGTGTAATTAAATACTCACATCTACACTAAATCTTACTGCAGAAGTTAGCGGAAAGATTCAGCGTGAAAACACGTGAAATGGAGTGTAAGCGTGTAAATTAAATGGTGAGTGGCTAGAGTATTAACTTATAGTAACCACTAGAATAATTTTTTTCATGCTTGCCCGTACACTCGCATACGCTTGTAAATTACACCAGTACGCTCCAAACCGAACACAGGTTTGGGGCATTTTTCTTTTACGTCCCAGAACGTTGCTCTAATTACAGATCTAAAGGCCGCAATGTGCACAGACACCTTGATTATTCTAGAGCTGCGTTCAGAGGGGTAAAAAAAAAACATGTATGGATCTAAAAGTGCTAATTTCTTTCGGCCCATATGCATGAGGCCTTAGAGAGAAAGAGTCACAGATAAAAAGAAATACATTATCACAGTGTTGCCTTCACTGTGCCATAAAGAGTATATCCAGGGAACAGAGATAGATGGATAGATAGACAGACAGATGTTATTTTTTAATGAAAGGCATCTGGAAAAGGAATGTTCCTCTATTTTGATATAATTATTTTTATTGTTTAATTTGTTTTCATTTTGCTGTACAGTGATGGGCCGTAGGTGATTTTTTTGGTTATAATATACCTAAATCTAACTATTATCATTTCAACTATTTCACCTATACCCAAAGCATTGCTGTGCTAACAACTAGTATTAGTTGTTAGCACAGGTTTGTCTGTGGTTATTATTATTTTTGTTGTTCATAATAATAATATTAAAGTTCTTTACCTAATCTGAAAAAGATTGGAAACCCATTTTCGTCCAGAGTAGAATATCTGATGACATTAACGTGTAGTAGATAAAAAGTTTTTATCATGGGAAATCACACTACACAGCTTGGAAATCACACTATACGGCTTGGAAATCACACTATACGGCTTGGAAATCACAATATACGGCTTGGAAATCACACTATACAGCTTGGAAATCACACTATACAGCTTGGATGGAAGCATCTCCCCTGCCGGCTGTTGTATTGTGACAGCCGGTGTCCGCAGCTGTCAGAATGCCTGAATAGTGGTTGCAGCTGTTTGGCTGCATTCACTGTTCAGGAAACAATTTTCCACCAGGCTCCTTTGACTAAAGTCGACTTTTGATAAATTGGGTGATGCTGGCAGGTCCACACACAGCTCAAACATTACCCAGTTCAGCAGGATTCAGCAGAAACGAGATCCATGTTTGGCCACCTCAGCAACACGGTGTCTCTGAACATGATGTTGGCATGCTGTGTGTTATCCTGCTGTTTGTGCAATACAGCGCAGATTTGCTCTTTGTGTTATGGGAAGCAGGATGCAGAACTCAAGGCTGTGGGTCACAGTAATGACCCCAGCTGACTAACATTGTCATCCTCTTCTGGAAACTGTACACGTCCTTAAAGTTTGGTAACAGCAATTAATGAAAAGCGCAGCGGGAGGGGAAAGGTCACATTCATAAGCAACTCTGTAAATCTACTGAGTAAGCACTGAGTCCGGTAAGAGTCCCAGCCATGGGCTGCAAACGTTCACATGAATGAGTCCACGTTTCATCCTTTACTGTAGAACTGAGCAAAATTAATCTGACAAATCAGAACACCGAACTTTTTCAAGCTTAAAGTGTGTCAAACCCAGGAACAAAAATGTTATATATTGAAGCTTATACATCCTTAGATGAAGCGTATACTGTATATCCTTAGGAGAAGCTTATACATCCTTAGATGAAGCTTATACTGTTCATCCTTAGGTGAAGCTTATACATCCTTAGATGTTTTCACCTAATGATCCCGCCAATAACACACTTCTTACAGAATACCTCCTTCCTCCTCCTCCTCCTCCTCCTCCTCTAGGGGTTCTAGAGCCTAAAGAGATAGCTGGGAATCATTCTGATTCCAGTCCGCAGAGGCAGATGGCACAGGAAGTTAGCAGCTCACAAGATTTTTGGCAGGATCAGCAGGTATTTTTTCCAATTGGAAAAAACATATATAACAAAACCCTTTTAATAGTTTTCCATCGAAAGTGAACAAATAGCAGAAGTTCATTGTTATGTTTTACATATACTTTAAGGGTGTACCCTTTACTCCCAATGTTACGTGTATTAAGGCTGCTTTTCTATCTTTATTTTGCAGTATGTCCAGATGGGGACCTCGAGGCAGAAAAGCAAATTGACAACTTGTATCTTAAAGCTCTGGAGGGCTTCGTAGCAGTGATCACTCAGGATGGGGACATGATCTTCCTGTCCGAGAACATCAACAAGTACTTGGGTTTAACACAGGTGAGAAGACACGAGGGCAACTAGTTTTGCCGTTCTTATGATTGCATTGCCTTTTACTTTTTGACATTACTTATATATAACTTCATCAGTTATTTCAGACTCGTTTTTTCCCCAAATTGCACAGATTAAGCAGCACTGTTACAGATATGCAGATTATGACTTTTGTATAAAAGTCAAGAGCTAAGTCCTCATTTAGATCTCCACTCCCCCCAGCCGCTTACTAATACAGTGAGCCATGGCACATGACTTTCATGTCACAAAGTGCCATTGAACTGTTTTACAGCCTGGCATCACCTTCTCTATCCTTTGCAAGATGGTGACACCATGTGAGGGAATAACTAGATCTTGGGGAGCAGATTTGAACTTTGTTATTTATAAGCTAGATATGTAATATTTGACAGCAGTTTCTGTAAGGAAAAGCAGAGGAAAGAGTTGCTTTCAGATGATTTTTCAAGTCATTTTTTTTTTTTTGAGGGAGTCCCTTTGTTTGTCATGTTGGTGTGATAGTGGGAGAGTGATGTACTTACACATTTATACTAAAAGAGCATCTACTCAATCAGCTGAGCATAAACAGCTCTTTATATAGAAAACCACAACCTATACATACATCAGTGTGACATGAACCCTAAAATATAAATAGCATCTGCAGTTACTTAATAGTACATGTTTAAAGAGAATAATCATTTCTTGCTTTAGGTTGAATTAACAGGACACAGCATCTTTGACTTCACCCATCCCTGCGATCATGATGAGATTAGAGAGCATCTTAGTTTGAAATGTGGTATGTTAATTTTCCTTTTACATTTTGCAAATTTTCTTAAAACTGTTGTGAACTTGGGCAAGTCAAGCTATTCATATGGGGAACCACCTTATATTCACCTTCGCTGCTCCTTCTGTGGCTGCCAAAATACTCAGTGCTTCCAGGTATGGGAGAACAGGTGACCTCTTCCCATGATACAGTGCTAGGTCTAAGCATGGTTCAGCACCAGCATGGAGGAAGGAGCAGTGGGGGAGCCCTGGAGAGGTAAGTATAAATGGAGAAGGAAGCAGTGGGGGAGCCCTGGAGAGGTAAGTATAAATGGAGAAGGAAGCAGTGGGGGAGCCCTGGAGAGGTAAGTATAAATGGAGAAGGAAGCAGTGGGGGAGCCCTGGAGAGGTAAGTATAAATGGAGAAGGAAGCAGTGGGGGAGCCCTGGAGAGGTAAGTAAAGAATGGTTGGTTGGTGGGCTTTACACAAGGCAAAATGACAATGTCTCTTTAAATCGTAAAGGCAAAATTTAGTTTTGAATAGAGCGGAGAACGATTACAAGACCTGTCAAGTTTATTACTGCTGTGCTTTAGCACTGCTATGTCCCAGCAGGGAATACAAAAATTGGCATTTGTCACCAGTACATGAAAATAAATCCTCTGATTCAACCTGATCCAATAGCAGTTGTCTAAGATAGGATTTCCCCTCTCTTTTGAGGGATTTCCTCTCGCTATTGGCTCCAGAATAGAAAGTAAAGGGAATCGTCCCCAGTGGGACACAGACATAAGAAAAAATATTGGATCCAGACATATAGGTAGCTGGAATTGGATCTCAACTTTTCTGGGTTGGGTTTTACTGTTTTCCTCTCTTATTGCAAGTCTGACTAAAAAGTAGTCAACATAAAGTTAAACCAGAAAAAGTGCCAAACACGCTCATCAAGAGTCCAGAATTGCAGTTTATTATTCTGCAGATGTCAAAAAGGTACTGTGGAATAATAAAATACAGTTCAGGACACTTGATACATGTGTTTGATTCTCTTTCTGGTTCAACGTAATGTGAATTTCTAAAGGCAGATGATCCGCTTATACTGGAAAGGTCTCAGCTTTGTGGAGAGCTGCCAAACTCAACCAATGTGAGCCTTACTAACCAGAGACGTTTCTTATACCCACCAAACAAATGGGGCCCAGCACCTTGCCTTTACTCCTACCTAGAAACTAGTCAGGTCAGTCTGTAGTTATACCATCAACAGGAACAAGATGCAAAATGAAATTGTTACAGTAATTAAATTGCCAGTTCTGGTCTGACATGTTAGGCCCAGCATTTCATGCCAGAACAGAATTTGTTCCTGCTGGCTATTTCAATAAAGAATATCATTTTGCATCTCAGTGTGCTGTGTTCCAGTTGATGGGATAACTTATTGGTTTGGTGGAAACGAACCAAGCCAGAACCTGACATATGGAGTGTGGGGTCTAATTTCACATGGAGCGGCATGTGGAAAGTTTAACATTGGATGGATTCATTTGTAAAAGGCTGAGGATATCTCAGCATTCATTAATGCAAAATGTTAATCACAATTTGATGATGAAGATTTGATGATGGTTTACACTTCTGTATATAACATCCAATAAAATGTAACGGTTCTGAGAAATTAGTTTCTAGAAAATATTACAATGTCTTACAATAACTAAAATATGTACTTTCGGAAAAGTACCCAATAGCTTCCTTTTAACTTTGTTATAGTTTCTCCAGAGCTCTAGCAGGGAGTCGTCTATGGGATAAGGGACGAGAAGAGAAAACTTGATCAGAATCAGAATCTCCCTAAATTTCAAACCTGTTCAGGACCTCCTTTATTAGCATAAGAACACCTTTTCTCTCCCTGTGCAACTCTATGGGTTTGCAAAAGCAGAGTCTGTAGCTGGTTAAATGCAAGTCAGTCAACTGCAGGTCAAGTGCACCTGTCATTGGATTCTGAAAGATTTCCCATCATCATTGGGAATGCATGTACCCGTCAACACAGGCGTGAATATGACTGTCAGAATTTTTTCCACACTTCCAGTTTCTAGAACACCTCCCTCATTGTACTGCAATTAGACTGAATCGCAGTCGGCTTTGTTATGGCAAGTCAATATATCAGAGTATGACTTTGCTGCAATATGAAAAGAAAGAATTGCTTTGAAGTTTATGCAGAATCAGCTTAAACTGTTACACAAAATAAACACAAGGTTGGCAGGAAGCGATCCTAGTTAGACTTCTGGCCCCATTTACCCAATTTAGTTGCTTTTGACCTAATAGACCCAATGTTGCCAAATGCGTGAGCTGTGAAATTATCCGATTTGTCTGATCCCAGATGGACCTGGATCAAACCTTTTGTATCCTGGGCCATAGCAGACCAAGACTGAAAAGCAGGCAGGCTATGGTGTACATCTTCTCTGTCCAGCGAAGCAATCAGGACACTGCTACCAACCATGTACAATTATTGGGGCCAGGTGCAGACTATATATAGACTGCTGGGAGTTTGACTCTTTTCTGGCTTTGGTTGATATTGAGGTGCTCTTGGATTTTCCACCCCTTCTGCTCAATGCTTGACACGCCAAAATGCCAGTCTGGGCCAGAATTCTAATTAGAGCCAAGAACACATGTAATAGTTTGTTATGAGCTGAAGAGTATGTAACTCTAACAATGGACTTCTCTCATTTGTTCTATTTTAGTCTGTGATATATACAATTGGAAGAGTTTTGTTGTATCTGTTCAATAAGTATAAAAACATACCCGATGATCTGCCAGAAATCTTGTCACCTGATAACATCCTGTGTTCTCTGCCTGAGCTGACTGTTATCAGTTACATTGTTCTAAGGCATCTATGAGGATTACACATTCCTCCCCATCTAAAGATTGAGGTGTTTGTAGTCCAAATCAGCAGAGCAGCCTAGAGTGACAACGCTGCTCCTCTATGGATACAGTACGGTGAGTGATCATTGTCACTCTAGGACGGAATTGTTACTGGCAGGATCAACAGGTGAAAGTAAAGGGGGAAAAAATGCAGCCACAGATCTCATGACTGGTAAGCTGCAATATATTACATTTCTGTTATTGGGTTTAAAGACACTTAAATCATTTTACCATTACCATGATTCTACAGGGACAACAAACCTGATCGGAATAATGCATTATTGGAAAGAGCACTTTGTTTTTTATGACCTTTATTTGAATTTACCACAAAGGTGCAGGACAAAATAAGAAGAACAAAGATGCAAATACAGAGCGGGATTTTTTCATGAGGATGAAATGCACCGTCACCAACAGAGGCCGAACCGTGAATCTCAAATCTGCTACCTGGAAGGTAAACGGATAGTTTCTTTAAAGGAGAACGCCGCCTGAAGTAAAATCACCAGTGAACCTTTCGAATGTCAGGTTATGTGCACTTTTTGAGTTTTGTCTTTGAACAGCAGCTGCGCTCTGAACTTGCTCCTCATAGGTATTTTATAATTGGAGAAGAACACGTTTTTTACTGCTGCTTGGGCTTGTACTATGTATCATAGTCCTGGTATAGATCTATGTTTTTTTACAATTGTCAATTTAATTTTTTGGAAGTCATTGAATCCAGGGCTACCTCCCCTTACCCTCTCCTCCCCCTACCCCATCACCTTTACCCTTGCTCTTTACCACCAGTCATATCTTTACCCCATCTCCTTCCCTTTTCATTTCCTTTATTCCATACAGTTCAATAAGACACAGACATGCGTTACTTTCCAATATTTTGTGTTCGCTCACCTCCCGATCTACTGAGCCGACCTGTGACAGTCTCATTGTCACAGGTCGGCTAGAACTATGAGGTGAGTGAAAAGCACTCACCTCATAGTTCTCCTTTAAGGTCTGGAAATCTCTAACATACACAGTTTATATATCCGTTAATGCCTCATATATACCTAATGGGTTGTTAAACTCCTTCCATCTTCTGTTGTAATAAATGCAAGGATGGCTCAAGGTCCAAAACCCAATCTCACCTTTTACAAAAAAAAATAATAATTACCACATTTATAAAATAAATAACATGTGCATTTATTAATTGCTTGAATTGGAGCCTGCAAAGCATTGTAACCTCAATCAGTGGATCAGCCTTAATCATTGGCTGCAAAATGCACAAAAAAACCCACCTGTACTATTTCTGTAATGATAATACACTTACTGCTGCAACGCACAGACCGCTAACACAAACTGCTTTATTACGCTGCAATATTCAGAATACATGTGCTTTACCTTGCAAAGCCAGCCTTAAGGGACGCTTCACTCAAGAAGAACATTTTGGGGTGTAATCTAACCACACTGGAGCATAAGAGGGAGGTTGCACAGCACAGAAATAGAAAACAAGAGGCAGTAATGCTGCCCATAGGTTTTGTATGAGGCCTGCTATATTTATCTTTATATTACAGAATAGACTTTATGACTTTTGAGCGGTAGGTGCGACCCTCTTTGATCACCATTTTGTTGATTATGACAACTTTGCTCCCTTCTGTCAGGTACTTCACTGCACTGGCCACGTGAAGGTGTACAACTCCTACAATCCACACACACTCTGTGGCTACAAAGAGCCTCTTCAGAATTGCCTGGTGATGATGTGTCAGCCAATCCAGCACCCCTCCAATATCGACATCCCGCTGGACAGCAAGACCTTCCTAAGCCGCCACAGCATGGACATGAAATTCACATACTGCGATGACAGGTGAGGGCGCCTGAGACTCGGAATTTCCATTGCAGAATTCAGTTATTACGTGGAGAGGGCAGTCATCTATCACCTAGGCAAGTCTTTCTGGATAATAAAGGGGATCTGTGCTCTATCTCTAAATTCATCCATGTCCTTGTGCTGCTTGGGAATTTTAATGTGAAGGTGCAGAACACTGCAAGACAGAGGTTTTCATTCTATCACTAACTGTAAAGCTGGCTATACACTGTTCTTACAAAACATCACTTGATTCCCCCAACCATACTAAAAAGCGTGGATTGATGAATTCCCCCCCTCCCCCCATTATATTGTATTCTGAAAGCCGGCACCTGCGGCTGTCCGAATACCCAAGCATCGGTTTTAACTATATGGCTTCAGACACTGTTTGGCGACAATTTTTCACCCATCTCTTTCAATAATATTGTGGTAAACAGAGCCATATCCTTTCTGTTCTGTTCCGTGCAACCGCCTACATTGCTTTATAAAGGTTCATGCTATAAAACAAAGATCAAGGCTGCATATAACAATAACAAACTGGTTTCTGATGAGTAATTCATAGGATGTGTCCTTACAGCTGTATTCACTCAAATAACTATAGTATTGGTACTATTTTGAATAGATCATGTTGTTAGGAAGAATTAAGGAGAGCTATGGTATTTTTTATGTATTTTAGACATGATTGAGATTATTTTTCAATAATATTATCAATGTGATGTAATGTGTTAAAAACCTTGGTCCGAGGTATAGCTGTATATGTACATGGGATCAGCCATTTTAATCCCCTTTTTATCCTGCCTCTGCTTCCTGCATAGTAGTGCTGAACAGTGCTTGTGTGTTTGCAATCCCTTCACTGCGAGTCTACCAGACAGGGTCCGTGTGATTAAAAAGATTAGGCTCCCCCCAGGGAAACTTGGACCCCTAATGGGTGCGTTGGACCCGGCTGGGGCCCACCCCCTCTTTTCTTTTTCTGGCTCTTTCTTTCTACTGCTTTTTCTTTGACCATGAGACACAGCTACTCTAAGGAATAGTAAATAGTCACAGAGCTTCATTGTACAGAGATATAGTATTGCGTAGATTTGTGGACGAACCACAATATTATACTGAGCTGGTTTACGACTGTACTGATATGACTTTATAAGTCTGGTTATATTTGTGTAATACGGTGTAGTCCGTTTTATTATGGAGTCTGTGGACTTTATACATTTACCTCTGCTCACTTATTGTGAATTTTGATACTGTTTCAGTCAATAAAGAATAATTAAAAAAAAAGATTACCTAGGCTCTCTGCAGTCTCTAATTACATTCACAATGCTCCATTGGTAGCCAGAGACCATGTGATATAGGCATTAGGTCACATGAGCAGTTTTTTTTTTTGTTTGTTTTTTTATACATGACAGAGCTGATCTTTTGCTCTGTAAAATACCATGATATGGGAATGATCCATGCTCCCTACTAATTCATGTGAATTGTTATAACAGGTTCACTTTCATAGGCCATAACCGGTAATAATACAGCAGGAAAACCTTTTGTGTGGCAAGAGCCTTTATGAGATTAGCTACTGTATCTTTACAGTGTGTATTATAAAAGGTTTTTACTGGTGGCATCATAAGCCTCTTATAAAAATATGTTATATAGACAGGCAGCTTAGCTGACCGATGATTCAATTCAATAAAGACATTCACTTGTCTCTGCTTTACAATGTAAAACAAAGGTTTACCTTTTATTGGGTAATCTGCGAACATTTGACACACTGACAGTCGCAGAATACGTGTGCAGCAACAAGGACAGAAGACTGACTGAGCGGCGTGCCTTGTGAGAACGGCTAGGCATTGTGAAAGACGCTTTACTTTCATTTTACTTTTATGGTTTGTATCTACAGACAAAGGTCATTTGTCTATGTATGAATGACAACATTGGACATTATGACCCCTCTGGGCAATTAAGGTCGCCAATGGCCCAATAAACTGTTAGCCGTGCAAAATAGTGCAGATTGCGACATTTTTAGTACTGCAAAAAAATTATTATATTTTATCTGAAATGTCACGATTTGTGCGCCATATAGTTGACAAAATTGCATATCTATGGGTGCATAGAATAATCACATTAGTGTACCTAGCAGTAGGTGTAACTTATAGACCAGGGGTGCAGTGGCATCACAAGGGGGGTGCAAGGGGTGCGGCTAGTACCGGGTGACACCATCAGTGACACCAAAATGAGCTGCACGAGAGAGGACGGGACCCGGCGGCATACCTTTATCCTAATGAAAGTCCCCTCCTTTCTTTGCTCGTGTCCACCACCAAGCATGTGTAATGAAGTTGCATGTTTACATAATGATGTGCGCACCTGGTGATGCCTCTGCAGGGGTGGGCAACTCTGGCCCCCCAGCTGTCATGGAACTACAAGTCCCATGAGACATTGCATGACTAAGGGGTTTATTCGCAAAGATGCCGAAGGCAGCCGAGTGAATAACCCGAGCCGAAGTAGGCTGAACGGCGTTCGGCTATTCACTCTGGCTTAGTACGGCTGATTTCAAACGTACATCGGCTGAAATCAGCTGTACATCGGCTGCCTACAGGTGCACTTCAATCAGCCGAAGTGCAGAAGGACTTTGACTCAGCCGATCCAGCATCTGGATCGGCTGAGCCAAAGCTCCGGCAGCTCACTCGCTGTCATTCACCCCTATTCACATAGGGGCTGAACGGCAGTAAGTGAATAGCCGAATGCCACTGAGCGGCATTCGGCTTGGCTATTCTGCTTGGTACCTCTGTGGTACCAGGCAGAATAGAAAATCAATTAAAATAGTCAAAAAAAGGTTGAAATTTTTAAAAAAATGTAAATAAATAGTAAAAATGTAAAAAGAAATAAAGATTTTTAAAAAGAAAAAAACAATTAGGCGGAGCTAGCAGTGACAACTCTCCGCCCAACTGTTTCCTTCTGGCCGGCCCCTGCTAGAGTCTTCTAGCAGGTCCCGGCCAATGAATAACAACTGGGCGGAGCCGGCCGTGACATCACGTTCGCCCCGCTTCGAGCCGAAGAATTTGCCTTCGGCTCAGCTGAGCCGCTTGGCTGACTTCAGCTGCTGTATGGCCTATAGTGAATAGCTCGTACAGCAGCCCTTCGGTTCAACTGACCCGAAGGGCTCCCACAACCGAAGCAAGCCGAAGCCACGGCTGGATCCTTCGGCAGCTTTGTGAATGACCCTTTAACAGTTACAGCCATGACTCGCAGAGGCATGTTTGAGATTTGTAGTAAAAAGCATAGCTGGAGGGCCGGAGTTGCCCACTCCTGGTAAAGACCGTGGTCACTGCAGCATTAAAGATAATTTGTCACATTTTATGACAATTTTGCCCATGATTTCCCTCTTGCATTTTTTCACTCTGCGCTACCTGAGATTATCAGGCCCAATGTGTTTAATCTGGGTCATAAAAACCCTCCTTTTTTAACCTTTTTGTCTTAATATACTGTAGATCTATGTTTATACCAAGCATGTTTAACCCTTTGCTAATGCGGCCAGGATATATAGACTCCATGCTGATAGAAACCTGCTTGGAAGTGATCCCAGTATACCAGGGCTGCCATGGCACCTTTATATTTGATAACCACATGGGATGAGTGGGAATTCCCCTTTGCTGCATCTCCTCCTGGATATATGTCCTCTGTGTGTTCTAGACAGCGCACGGTTTTCCTCCGCAATTACCGCAATCACAGTTTCTGTGTATGCATCCAGCAGAAATAATTGTATTTTACAGGGAGCACCATATTTCATGTGCTTGCTCTTATGTTTCCAATAAGATAAAGCAACATTGGTATTAATCATGTGCATCGGGCATTGCTCTATGAGAATCTAGAATGTGGATGCTTCCGCTGGAATGTCTTATATATACAGCACTTAACATACTAAAGTCATGTGTCTAATTTATGTGCTGCTACCCAGCCTAATGCTCAAGAAGGCCAACTGTTTACTTTGCAGGCATTTCAGCTTTATATAATCCGTGTGAAATGTATGTGCCACAACGCCTGCAATGCATTCTCATTATTGAGACCCATTTTATATCAGTTTCACTTATATTCTTATGTCATTTAGTGTGTAGCCAAAACTTTTTTTTACTTCGGGATAGAGTGAGGCAGGCTTAACCACTTGCTGTCCGGAGCAATTTCTTACTATTTGCACACACATGATAAAATAACAATTTTTGGCTAGAAAACAGCTGCAAACCCCCAAACAATGATATATTTTCTGAAAGCAGAGGTCCTGTAGAATAAAAGATGCCAGTTGCAATTTTTTATGTCACGCAGTATTTGCGCAAATGTTTATCAAACCAGTATTTTTAGGATAAAATAAACTAAATGAAATTTAGTTCACAGAAACAGAATATAATACCCAATTTTTGGGCAAAATATAAAAGCCGGGATCACAACAGTTAAATAGATACTAAACATGTCAAGCCTTAAGATTGCGTTTGCCCGTGAAGCCACAAAAAACGTCAATACCCCAAATTTCCCATAGGGAACACTTTAAACCCTTTTACCGCTCATCAGTTTAGTGCTAACAGTGACTAATGGCTCTAGGATTATTGCTCTCACTCCAATGTTCGCGGCGATATGCAACATGTGTAGCGCAATTGTCATTTTCGCACGTAGGCGCACCGACACGTGTTTGGGGGACTTAAAAAATATATTTTTTTGCATTTTTTTCTTTTTAAAAAGAGATTAAAAAAACACAGATTGCTGCAGCTCTGTATTCATGAATACATCGTTAAACATATTTGTATTGCAAGCAGTAGTTATTTGAATTTGGCTTGATATTAGCCTCTTGCAATTGCCTGTACAGCAGAGCTCAGGGTGGGCGAGGGAGAAGCAGCGCAAGGAGCCAATAAGTTGTGCTGCAGTATTCATGGGCTAACAACAAAACGCTGATGGGAGGAGAGAGCAGAGTGACAGAGAGATGAGCTAATCAGTCTGCTGCATTTGCTTTCACTGTCCAGTCACAGGCTGTGGGAGAGACAAAACCTGTAAGTGTTACTGAACTGCAGCATTAAAAAAATGAGTCTTCTGCCCTGCTAGACAGGTCTGTGCTATGTATCAGAGCTGTGTATATGTTAGGACTGGATGGAGAGGAACACAAATCCTTTGGCAGGAAAAACCATTCCAATATATGTGTTGCATCTGTGTCCAGCTACCTGTGTACATACTACCTGCTGGGAGCCTGCTGGGTCTCTGTATAGTTGTCTCCCACATACTAATAAGATTATTATTTTATGCCCACACTGGACTTGTGTGTCTGTACGGCTGTGGTTGGGACGCTATTGATGCATCAAACTTTCTATGAATTATTAGGATGCCCTTATATGCAACTCATAGCATTGTGCTGTAGTATATGAATGTGTTGGTAATGAGCAGTGCAGTGACAGGTTTTATTTGTTCATTGTAATTAGTAAATTCATTATTTCTTTTGTGTTTTGTTTGAAGAATAACTGAACTGATTGGATACCATCCAGAGGAGCTGCTTGGCCGCTCAGCCTATGAGTTTTATCATGCATTGGATTCTGAAAGCATGACTAAAAGCCACCAGAACTGTAAGTATCCAACACATTGTTCAGCATAAGCTCATCTTTGTTGAAAGTTCTCAGTTTATTGAAACAGTGAAGAGGTTCTCCCTCTGTAGATAAGGGCAGGACCACATGCTAAAAACAATGAAGAGGTTCTCCCTCTGTAGATAAGGGCCACATCCTAACGCAAGTGAAGAGGTTCTCTCTCTCTAGATAAGGGCAGGGCCACATCCTAAAAACAGTGAAGAGGTCCTCTCTTTGTAGATAAGGGCAGGATCACATCCTAAAAACAATGAAGAGGTTCTCTTTCTGTAGATAAGGGCAGGGCCAAATCCTAAAAACAGTGAAGAGGTCCTCTCTCTGTAGATAAGGGCCACATCCTAACACAAGTGAAGAGGTTCTCTCTCTCTCTAGATAAGGGCAGGGTCACATCCTAAAAACAGTGAAGAGGTCCTCTCTTTGTAGATAAGGGCAGGGTCACATCCTAAAAACAGTGAAGAGGTCCTCTCTTTGTAGATAAGGGCAGGGCCACATCCTAAAAACAGTGAAGAGGTTCTCTCTTTGTAGATAAGGGCAGGGCCACATCCTAAAAACAGTGAAGAGGTCCTCTCTTTGTAGATAAGGGCGGGGTCACACCCTAAAAACAGTGAAGAGGTCCTCTCTTTGTAGATAAGGGCGGGGTCACACCCTAAAAACAGTGAAGAGGTCCTCTCTTTGTAGATAAGGGCGGGGCCACACCCTAAAAACAGTGAAGAGGTCCTCTCTCTGTAGATAAGGGCAGGGCCACATCCTAAAAACAGTGAAGAGGTTCTCTCTCTGTAGATAAGGGCAGGGCCACATCCTATACATACAGTATACTAACAGTGACTATGTAGCCTCAGCTCCACTGAAGATTGCATGGTCAGGTTTCCATAGGGTAACCAGAAACCACCTATTATATGTTGCTTTGATAACATACCTTCTGGAGAAGCCTTCTAGATTCTAATGTATGATTTATAGTGTTCTCTATCCCAAGAAGACGACATAGGCAAACCTATGAGTGCAGTAACTGAGAAATGAACTGTAAAATCACAACACAGGTAGGACAAGCTCCAAGTTTCTACAGCGAAGAAGCATAGCTTTGTAGGTCTGTCTTATGATGATGCACTTAGTACCTATGTCTACCAGGAGCCTCCAACCAGTGGCATCACAAGGGCGGTGCGGCCCACACCCGGTGACACCATTGGAGGGTGACACCAAAATGACTGGCAGTCATTTTGGTGTCGCCCCCCTCTGAAAAGTCGGGCACTCGGTCATGGACCGTGCACCCGACAGTATCAGGAGAGAGGAGGGGTCCCGGCGACATACCTTATCCCGCCGGGTGACTGTCCCCTCCTCTCTCTGCCTGCGTCCATCACCAAAATGGCCGCCGACAGGTATCAAGAAGATCGCCGCGCATGCGCTATAACATCACGGCGGGGTGTCAACGGGTAACCTACCTGGGTGACACCCAGCCTCGGGATGCCCCTGCCTCCAACCCTTTCCTGAATGTGGTTGGGCTTCCAACAGTCAAAGCTTTGGTCAACAGAGGCCTTCCTCCAGGTTGACTACCATATGTGCAGTGAGGGTGGCAACTTGGGTGTCCTACCCCTTCCTTCATCTGAAAGCCCAGAGCTACTTGGCCTGCTGTAGTTATACCATTTCTCTTACCTGGCAGTTAGCATAGCAATGTTCATTTCTTAATTGAATGTAATAAGCCAACTCCTGCATTAAAGAGCTTAAAGCCATGGCACCAAACCAAAAGAACAGAAACATCCTCCTTATTAACCACTAATGTTTACAGCATTCCAAACTCCCAATGTGCAAAGCCTTAATGCGTTCAGGGTGTGGCCTGAAAAGCGCTATATATACACAAGAGAAGTATTAATAGCGATTGCCTGTACACTGGCCACAGTCATTAAGCAATGCAGACTAAAGTCATCACACTTCATTTCATTTACACAATGCTGTAATGTTTCATATCAAGGTGAGGTTTATTGTCCTAAAGTCCCGGTTATTTGTTATCCAAGTGTAGAGTTCTAGCTTCTAAACACTTAATTGGGCTTAGATCATTTGGAAGTTAAGTAGTAGATTTGGCAGTCGCTGTAGTACATAGTGTTTTTTCTCGTGTGCAGGAGACGGTGTTTAATTTATCTCTCATTATCTGAGTAATATGCGCACTGCTAAACATTTACTTTGTTAAATGATTGGAAATTACTCCTGACAAAGGTCTCATTTGTGGTTTTACACATAACATATTGTATTGTTTTCCTTGCTTTTCAAATGGCATGAAAGCATTGGCAGGTGAGGCAGGCGTTGGTAAAAGGATCTATGAAACTTATCAGGTGTTGCCCGCGGTGTTTTAAAAAAAATATATAAGACATATGCTTTTTAATAGATGTCTCATAGTATACTGCAGTAGGAAAGCAACTTCGCAAGCAGGTCAGTAGTTTTCGTTGACGGCAGAAATGCACCCCCCTAATGACACTAATCGGTGCCCTAAGCATAGAAACATCATGTCATCCTATCTCCATTGAGCTAATGCACCAGTATCCTACTATTTGCTTGGATAGTCCTCCATTTTGAATTGGCATTCACCTCAGATAGAGCTTGGACCAGTCTATGGCCAGGTCAGTTGGCATCATAACATGAATGTGACCTTTTTTGTAGTCTTGTTAAATCTATATAGAGTACTACTTGCTCTCATAGTAGGATTACTATGCACCTGTAGAGTAGATTAAAGGAAACCAGCACCTGTGTTTTTTGAGACCATTTTGCTTCCATAAGAATATACAGTATCTGCTGTAAGTGCTCAAGGCATGTCAGAAGAGAAGCATCAGAGAAGTCGTCTGCATCACTGTACATTGATACATGTGCAGGATGGTGGATTGGCTCTATTCATCCTTGTGGTGAAAGTAGATCGTTATATATACATGACACAAGTTACCATCATTAATGCTGTTGGGCAGACCGAATCTGCGTAAAATTATTTCCTTTATTGGGTCTGTCAAGCTGTGTTTGTGCATGGCAGCCATCCTGCACATGTTGACCCACAGCAGTGCATAGCCATATACAGGCAAGCTGTATCTGTCTCTTGCATTGTATCTGGATGCCACAGTTGGGAGCCATAATACATGGCAGCATTCTTGTCCCATCTTTTTTTGGATTGCTATATTACATTCTTCTTTGTGTTTTTAACTGAAATGCTGCTAGCATGTTTTTCACAATTTTATTGTTGTTTACCAGTGTGCACAAAGGGCCAAGTAGTCAGTGGTCAATATCGGATGCTTGCAAAGCATGGTGGTTACGTCTGGGTGGAAAGTCATGGCACCGTCATCTACAATACACGCAACTCCCAGCCACAATGTATCGTCTGTGTGAACTACGTCCTGAGGTGAGGAGAATTAATTCTGGTACCTCTTTAGGCCATGTTGGGAAAATTGATCATTCTGAGCCTGATGAAGGGGACCCGGCGTGGCCACCGAAAGCACTAGTTTTTGAATGGCGATGTTCCTTCAATAAATGGACTTTTGCTTATTTAATTGAAATGTTGGTTTGCTGGTGACATCTCTACATATTTATTTGTCACAATTAAACTTACCAGGGCACATCTGATTTGGTTCGGATTAGCAGCAGAACCGACGCTTATCCTGGAAATAATGAAGGCTTTGTCAAACATTTACAAATAAAAATCCATTTTTGTGCTGAGCAAAGTAAATGAATTCAAACTGGAGAGCAATATGACTCTGTTATGTAGGAAATAATGCTGCAATTAATCATTTAAGCAAACCGTATTTAATCATCACCTTCAACTTTAGTTAAAGTCGAATTGAACTCTCAGGGAGGAATCATTTGTTTTGTAGAGGACTGGAAATGAAACATGAATGCATTATTGCTGTTTTTTTTATTAAAAAAAAGAGTTTCCCCCTTACTTTGTTTATGTTTTCTCTCATACTGCGTTGTGCATATCCTGTAGAGTCTTTGTATGAATTTCCTGTGGACCTGTGCATGCGACTAGTGGCAGCTGAACATCACAGTTTAAATACAACAATGTATTCCAGTATGTTTTGCCTTGGCATAGCTACTTGTAGTCCAACTCGAGATTGTGCATGAAAGGGTCACAGTGCCACAGCTGAACTGAGCAAATGTTGTCACCCTAAGAAGGCAGAGGCTGCGGATACACTTTTCTAGTAGGACTATTTGAAATACTGGAAAGCAAGAAATATTAAAAAATTCAGGGCAGTGACAGGTTCTACATAAAGAGAACCCCTCACCCACTGAAGCATTGTACTCTGTTGTTCTGTTGGAGCCCTCTGTAAAAACCCAGTCCGTATAGGTGTGGAGGAAAATGTGACCTCCTCCCAAGATGCAGCGCGTAAATACGCAGAAATACGTTGCCCGGACGCATCTCGGTTCCATTCTGTTTTTGCACATTTTTTACGCTACGCAAATATACGGCTCCATGCGCAGCTATGTGAATGGTGCCATTTATTTGCATATGCTGCATATGGTACTATACACGCGTATATGCGCGGCAGTGTGAATGAGGCCAAAGAGGAGGAAGAGGAAGAAGTTAACCCTGTCTAAGATCCAACACCTTCTGATACTGAGCTTACACAGGGTTTGGTCTCTGTGCTCTAATGGAGTGGTGGTGGAGTGCGGCGAAGAAGAATATTTGCAAGTAGCGGGTTGTTCTTACAAGAGAACCTGATAATTTACCCTGAATGAGCAAAGTGACAGTCTCATTAGTCTTTTTGATATTACAGGAAGTTCTTGTGTTTCAATACAGTTAAAACGTTATCATCTAATAAATTCTGTCCTTTTTTTGCAGTGAAATAGAGAAGACGGATATTGTGTTCTCTATGGACCAGACAGAGTCTCTCTTCAAGCCTCACCAGGTGACCATGAGCTCTATCTTTAGCAATGCTGTCTCTGACAAGACCAGTGACTTCCTGTATGCCAAGCTGAAGGAGGAACCAGAAGAGTTGGCACAGCTGGCTCCCACAGCAGGGGATGAAATTATTTCCTTGGATTTTGGTTAGTACTTGTCAATTTTTTCTCCAGTAGAACTAATCCATACTGCAAGGCAGGGATGTCAAATGCTAATAACACATCCTGCCAGGTTATATAAGATAACTCCTAAAAGTACCATTATATTCTAGCTAAAGGACATTCTGACTTAATTTACCTTACTTAAAAAAAAAACCACTATGGCATTCTGATTATCATACCAGTTATAAGCTCAATCCCTAATGCTAACTAACCCCTTCCATGCTTACCTTGTCATCACCTAAACCAGGAGTGCCCACAATTGTGTGTTAAGATCTACTTTTCAAATGACGAGCTACATGAGATCTACCGACGAAAAAAAACCCTCCATCGCTCTCTCTCTCTTGGCTGTCTCTCCTCGCTCTCCTGGCTGTCTCTCCTCGCTCTCTATCCTGGCTGTCTCTCCTTGCTCTCTATCCTGGCTGTCTCTCCTTGCTCTCTCTCATGGCTGTCCTTGCTCATCCTCCTGGCTGTCTCTCCTCTCTCTCTCATGGCTCTTTCCTCGCTTTCTCTCCCCTGGCTGTCATTCCTCGTTTTCTCTCCTGGCTGTCTCTCCTTGCCCTCTCCCCTGGCTGTTTCTCCTCTCTCTCTTTCCTGGCTATCTCTCCTTGCTCTCTTGGCTGTCTCTCCTTGCCCTCTCCCCTGGCTGTTTCTCCTCTCTCTTTCCTGGCTGTCTCTCTGGTAGATCACGATCTGCCTAATGGGCACCCCTGACCTAAACTATCTAGCCATTATGCGCTGAGATGGTAAAAGTTCCCTTTCCCTGAGCCAAAAAGATGCATTAAAACCATTTTATTTAAAACAATTTAATAAACATTTGACATTTCTGAAACCTTTGAAAATGCTTAAAACAACAAGATGTTAAGCAGCTGAAGGAAAGATACACAAAAAGAGAAGAGGAAACACTAAGAGGTGGTTGGTGTTGTTTTAACTACATGGATTGACTTATTTTGCAGGTGCTCAGACTTATGAAGAGTCATCAACCTATAACAGCAGCAGCCAGTCAAGTCCAAGCACACAGTGGCCACTGGAAGTCAAGAACCATGGTTCCCAGCCTGACATCATGAACCATCCGTCCTTTACAGCACCTCAGGTGGCTCCTGGGAGTACTACACCCAGTGATAGTAGCCACAGCAGCTGTTCTACGGTAAGACATGACTTTTCAGTGATGTTTCTTTTTTTATTCTCCCATCCAGTAATGACAGTGTCAGGGTTTTTTTGACTAGTTGTACAATAGTTTTTTAAAAAACCGAAGCATATATCATGCTAATAGAAGGTGACCATTGTTTAACACCCCTGACAGTGTTATAGTCTGTCCCATCTTTTCCACTGTCATTTTTTCTGGAAAGCTTGGTCGGCATGTAAATGTGGAAAATATATGAATGTTGGGACGTGATATAAAAAAAGGAATTATGAGAACATAAATGTAATCTTGCAAACAAGTACAAGATGTTTCTTGACAGTTGTCCTTTAAACCAGCAGAAGAGGTATAATGTAGCTGTCACAACCCCATTGCCTCTCATTCTCTACATTGTAGACCACTGAAAGAGATGAATCAGGGCTGCCAAAAACTGGTCCCTGGTCATTCTCCTTAGCATTATTTATATTTTATCTATTTTATAATTTATTTTTTTGGTATTTACTTTGCTTTTTCCCTTCAATTGTAGCCAAGCAGTCCAGTTGAGTACTATACGTCTTTGGAAGAAGATCTCAAGATTGAGCTGATTGAGAAGCTTTTTGCTATGGATACAGATGCAAAGAATAAATGTAACACTACCCAGGTAGGTAGAGCAGAGATGTGTCCTACAGCAACCCATTAGCTTTTGGTCATCATATTGATGGTGATAATGATAGCAATCCTGACAGCTGTATTTTACAGTAAGAGTTTATTGTAAGAAGGTGTTAATTCATATAACAACTGGCGTTACCATCAAAGTGTGGTTTTTATCAAATATTCACCGTGGCACTGTATATACTTCTTGTTTAATCTTGACCATCTTTGTACACAGCAGGCACTCCCACTTTAAGCTTGATTTAAACTTTCAGCTGCCACAAGACAGAATGTATGTAATTACAATGACTGAAGACTTTTGAAACCATACATAATTCGAATATTATTGTTCTATTTATGTGTCTATTGATGTTTTTGTAAATAAGTGTCATATTTATAAAATTAGAGGGATACTATACATTCTTTTAAAGATGCATTATATGTATATAACTTAATACAATCACGGATTTGTTTTCCTCATAGAACGACTTTAATGGGCTGGATCTGGAAACACTTGCCCCATACATTCCAATGGACGGTGAAGATTTCCAGTTGAACCCCATATGCCACGAAGAGTGTCCCCTCAGTGATAACACACAGCCTCCCAAGCAGAACATTAATAGCATGAATACACTCTACCAATCCAGTGCCCCTCCTCCTCAGAATCAGTACCTGCATCAGAATTATGCTCAACCAATGGCAGCTAAAGGCAGTAATCCCAGCCAGGATTCTCTGCCCACCGGCCTCTATAATGGTGAAAGAAAGTCACCAACCTTATTGGCCTACCATACCGGAGCAAATACACCACTGTCTTCAGTGGGAGGAAGGCCTAATATACAGTGGCCGCCAGACCCTCCTGTCAGTTACATGTCGCCAAAGTGGAGACTGATGGATCAATACCATGACTCGAGCTCAGCTACTGGACGCTCAATGCATCAACACAGCATGCCGTTATTTAAGCAAAGGTAGGAGGAATAAAAATGCAGTATCCTTCCTTTCCTTTCTTTTATCCCCTTTGATTTCTTCCTTCCCTCCATCCTTCCTTCATTTCTACCTACCCTTCATTCCCCTTCTTTTCTTTGTTGATACATAATCAAAAGATCAGTCTACCCAAAGCCCCTTCCTCGGGTTTTGGTAGAAGATAGACAGTATACCACCTGACAGTTTCTTATATCTGTTGGGGACTGAATTGGTGAGATCTCTATGCTGAGTTCCTGGGTCTGTACACCTTCTTTGCGAGTTCCCACTCTGCCTGTTAGATGGAGAATGTAACAGAAGGAGCTGAAATACACAAAGGTTCATGAGAACACCCAAAACTCACAGTAGTGTGATGTTGTTGCTGGAGTTACCAATTCATATGAATATAAAACTAGCCAGGGGCTAACACAGATCATAATTTTTCTCTTAAAATGAAAATATGACTTTTGGGTCGACTGACACTTTAGTTTTTTAATAAAAGTAATGGAGATAAAAACTTACTCATACTGGAAATGTTCCTTTAAGGTCACTTGAGAGCTTTGGGCAGCGGGGTAAGGATTTACATCCCACAGAGATGACTTTCTGCAGCAGTATGAAGCGGAAGCGGCAGCTTGATTATGGAACTCAGGGATTCCCACAACTCAATGTGGTAAGTAGCAGAATATCTGCACTGATTGCAGTTTGTAATCATATGGTTTTGATACACTGTCTGTATAGACTAAAGCAGGGTTACTGATAACTAATGCTTATCCCGGGATTAGACTGTTTGGCTACGTTTGGTGGTTGATGGTAATGCTTCTAGCTTTCAGAAGCGCTCCTTATTTCTTACTCAGATTTTTTAACTTGTTGGGCAACCTAGCCAACCCTTCCATCTTCTCAGTGCAAAGTAGAAAAGAAGGGGGTAACTGTGCATGTGCTGCACCAGGCCGTTGGGTGAGTGCCATGAGAAACTGCATTAGGTCCCAGCACTAAAAATGATTCATCTTCATGTGACCTGCCTGTCTATGACTAACATTTTTCTGGTCATGGATGGGCAGATTTCTCTACAGTTTTGATGAGATCTGTTTATCACCATGTCTCTAAAGCTGCAGATTCTTATTTTTCCAGCTGCACAGTAAAACTTTTCTAATTGCACGGGGAAAATTGTCACTGCCAATTGCCATAACATCACAGCATTAAAGCCAAACTTTCTGTAACTTGACAAGTCTGCCTGAATAAATTCCTGATAAATCACAATATGCACCAACTGGATACATTTCCAGAATAAAACTCTACCTTTTATTATTCATAAGCTGCCCTTGTGCTCTAATGAGTGACTTTGGCTAGGCTGAGATGATTTATTCTTTAACTTTGTAAAACTTAACAAGGTCAGAGGTAGCAGGAGAGGCTGACTCCGAGACATGATGGTAGGTTCATTGGCTCCTGTCTAAATTGCATGTTAGTTATGGACCTTAGATTGTAAGCTCCTTGAGGGTAGAGACTGTGAATGTGCACTGTGTAAAGTGTTGCGTAAAATTGCTGGTGCTATATATATACCAATAATAAATAAATAATCTGTCAGATATTTGTGAACACAGCCAAGTACTGCATGGGCAACAGGATTTACATGATTGTGTTATCTCTACTACGAGTCAGTAATGAGTATCATACTACTAAATTAAGTATATGTATAGTTATGGTTATCTTTTCTATGTCATTTTCTAGCCATGATGAAAGTGGCAAGGTGTAGCTCCCAAAACACATTGGCTTTTTTAATACTTTTTTCGTCCAATTTTACATTGGTATAAACAACATCACTGAACTCTAGATTTACTCATGACAATAAAAACCTGACAGATATTGTAACTCTTTCCCGCTGTAATCAAAACAAAAACATATGCTTTGAGTAGAGTTGGGCTTTAAGGTGTGAAAACATAATTTTTTTTTATGGTTTTTGCCACCTAAAGCGATTTTTTTAAAATCTTGATGGAAGGTCTGGGCAGCCCATTGAGGATTGTTCTTGCCTAAACAATGCACTTGAAAATTATCTCAGAGATGGCAGGGACACTATACATGGATTATTAGTAGTAACACTATAATCTTCTTCTAATATGCATCTAACATGTTATCTCTCTTGTAGGGAGAGTTACCTGATAATGCCATACCATCACTGATGTGGAAAAGGATGAAATCCCTGAAACCAGAAATGTGTCCACTTGTTTCAGAAAAGAAATCCCTGAGCGCAAGTGTCCTGAATGGTAAGTAGAGGATTTAAGTGATGTCTCTCAGGGGCTTGTTGTTGCCCATGGGACACAGGCAAGGCTAAATTCTGATAGATGCACAGAGACACTTTCAAAATGCCACCAACAGATATTTGTGGCCACATATTTCTTGTGATGGTGGACTGGCGAAACAGAATGTCAAACCACGTGCAGCCAGTGCATGTAATGAAGAACAAATTAGATTGCAATTACTGACCCAGAGATTTGTATTTTATTTCTAGATGAGTTTATCTGTAACAGACACAGAGGACTGAGCCAGCAGATGACCCAACAGCCGCAGTCACATCCACATTGTGCACAGAGTTCCAGAGACAGCAGGAAAAATCCCTATCAAACCACGTTTTTTAGTTGTAATTACCACGATTACAACATGCCACAATCACAGAAAGTAAAAGGTCAGTAGAAAAAGGATTCATTTATAACTGGGTTTTTTTATCGCTGAGAAACTTTTCACAGACATTGAACCCTGCCATCCCCAATGGGAGCCAAAAAGGACAGTGAGGAGGTCATAGATCTGTTTTAATATCAGTTACTGTAAGGCAGGAAAAACCTCCAGTGGTATGTACTAGGTGGCAATGAATGGAGTGTGGTGTAAAAATAAAAAACCCCTATAGCTAGAAGTGTTTGGCCATGTGCACCGTGATGTGGACCCAGCATAAAATTCCCTTATGCACTGTCAATGTAGGGTAGCGGGAAGTGCAACCAGTGGCCTTGCAGTGACTAGGTATAGGGGTTATAATGGTTGCTGCTACTGTGCCATTAAGCTGACTGAACGGGTTGCAGGCTTGAGACTTGGGATACCTGAAGGCCTGCTGCTCATCAAACCTGTGATTTGAACATTTTTTGTGCAGGCCAAAGCTCTAATTTATAATCGCATAATAATGAATCCAGACGTTTTGGGAATTTCCTTTTACAAGAGTTTTAGGGCATCAATAGCATATGCAGTAGAAGCAGCACAATAGACATTTAACCCCTTGATGACTGAGCTAGTTTTCAGGTTCTGTTCATAAATGACTGACAAATTTTTTAAATTTTTGCTGTGTGATTCTTCCACAGCAGTAATATACTTTCTTACTAAATGTACCCACACATATTGTATATAGTTTTTTAGAGGACAGATAGGGCTATATAATTATATCACATATGTGTACCTAACCCCTCACTTAGTTTGAATAAAATAAAAAAAATGAGGAAAAAAACTAGAAGAAAACACTTTTTTCACAAGTTTTGATTATTATTATTTTTTTTTAGAATTTTTTAATATTAATTATAGTATAAAAAATATATTTATATATAATTTATATTTTCCTAATTTTTTTTTACACTTTATTTTTATTTTTTTACACTTTGTAAAAAAAATAAAAATAAAATAAAAAAACTTTTTTTTTTCTTGTCAGTTTATATCAAGCAATCACTATGACAGCTTGATAAATTAACTTTTTTATTTTATTTTTGGCTATTAGGCTGATCCAAACTTAGGAACAGCTAATAATAACCTTAGAGACTGATCCTGACTTTAGTCAGATTCAGATCTCACTAAAAGCTCTTTGATCGTGCCTAGACGATCAGAAATGATACATTTCACTCAAAAGATATACATTGTATCCTTTCAGTGAAATGTATCTAAACATCGGGCTCTCGAGCTGTCAAAACAAATAGCAGAGAGGTGAGGTGAGTCACTGCTGCCTCTCTGCTATTTTGAGCTGTCAAATACGGGATCGCAAATTGCGGTCCTCTATTTGCATGTAACGGCTTCATTCTTTCATTAATGAAAGGAAGAAGCTTTTACAAAAAGCTTAATTATTTCATTAATTAATGCCTCAATACTGAGACATTAATGAATGACTGTTAAATGCTGAGAATCAGCAGTTACCGGCATTACAAAGCCTGATATAACTCGTCACGTACAGTGTACGTGGCCAGTCATATAGGCACAAAGTGACAGGACGTACACTGTATGTCTCCCGTCACGAAGGGGTTAATAGCATCCACAGCAGCAAAGTTTTGTAGGATCCAGAAAATAACAGTCAGGTGCCCTCTAGTATGCAACTTTCCAAAGAGATGACGACACAATCAAAACTCAGAGGACAGGGATTTGAAAGTGAAAGTGGGAACCATAGTGGGAATAGTTCTTTTTCAGGAGAGTAATTGTACGGAATAGAAAAATATTCTTGGTGGAGATATACAGTTATTCAGGTTCCATGGATAGAAAATGTAGAGGGTTCCCGGGGTGGGTGGCATTGGTGACACCTCCTTCTATATCGGGAGTTGTTTTGGATTTTTAACTTACAAACCAAAATGCCACATGGTCTTAATTTTAGATGGGACAATGATTTACATATACAGTATTTATTAAAAATTGTTTTGTTTGCAACTTTGTTCTTATCTTGCTTTTCTCCATATGCCTGAGGTTGAACACATGCTGTATGTCCTTTTACTAGTTTGAGTTTGAACATACATTCGCATTTCTGCTGATTTCAATGTATTTTTTTGCATATTGTTTTTAATGATGATGAATACAACGTTTTTGTCTTTTGGCTTCTTTGTGTAAGTAGATTTGACTCCAGTTCATATTTTGTCTTTGTTAGTTAAAATGGGGATGGACCCTTAAAAGGAAGTCAGTCCAGCAACATCTTGCTAAATATTAAGGCCTAGATTGGCCAAAACGCATCTAGCATTGATGTCTTTTTTATCTGAAATGCTGAAATAAAGGCTTAAAATACTGATCATGTTTGGGCTTGGGTTACTTGTGTAGAAATAAATGTTGTTCCATGTTCATTTAAAATGAATATGCCACTTGGATAAGTAGTGGAAAGTCTTCAACAAAAAAGGTCTGGTCGAATGTGACAAACTACTACTAGCTATACCATCATTTTTTTCAGACATGTTCTTGAGAGGTGGTACCTATAATAGACACAGCTATCTATAGGTTGAAATATCCCCAATAACAGAAACCATAGTGGTGGTTGTTGGTGGCAATAGTTTAGGGAAAGAACAATGTTTGACAGCCAATGTCCTGATGAAGACAATAACCCCACTGCTAACTCTTGTTTGATACTATCTTTTCTTTTTTCCTTTTCAGCCATGGCCAACCGGCTCATCGGCCCAACATTTGAACCCTATCTCTTGCCGGAACTCACGAGATACGACTGTGAGGTCAACGTGCCGGTGGTGGGTAACTCCAACCTCTTGCAAGGCAGAGACCTTCTCCAAGCGCTGGATCAGACCACTTGAGGGGAACGGTGGCCCTCTCATCAACCTCCAACTCTTCATTTAAATAAACAAAACAGCTTCAGTTTTTAAATATATTTTTCCAGTAGACAATTTCTATCACTGATAACAATCTTACACGAATCATTCACATGTGGAACTTTGTGCACAGTACCAAATAGTGGCCTTACTGATATGATGTCAGATTAAAACAGAGAAATATACATATATGTTTTTACCTGCTGTATGTTTTCTTTATTTTAATTAAAAAAAATAAGTGTTTAGTATAGAAATGTTTTACATGCCCTTATATCCCTGTAAAAGTAATTTATATATATTTTTCAATGGCCATAGAAGATCTTTGGTGCATATATTTGCATGGAGGATGTTACTGATGCAGATCACTGAAATTCTGTATACTGTAATCCTATGGTAGTGCCTTGTATTTCATTGTTTTTCAGGTTGTAAATGTCTTGGAAGGGTTTTTTTTTTAAATGGCATTCCCATATCGAATGAGACCAAAGAAATTGCATTCCTTCAGACCAGAAAGTTTGCTGAGCTCTTGAAACACTCTAGTGCTTATTAAATGCTCAAAGAGCTACATTGCCCAAGCAAGAACCCATAGCAACCAATCAGCAGTCATCTTTCAGTGAACTGCTGAAATCTGATGGGTGTAGTTCGTGATGAGGTGGTTTATATCGATCTTATTAGATACCACTACCACTGGCATTTTATTGTCCATTTTCCAGTTCATGCCAAGATTCATTGATGTAAAGAAAAACATTTTCAATGCAGAGGACTTATAAACTGTAATACTTAGTCCATATCCTTGCAACAATTTAGTAAAGTGCAGAACAGATAAGCAGCAACAAGTCAAAGTACATAATCCTCTATAGAGAAATGCATTTGAATATGGACTGAGTATCTATAAGTTCTCTATGCTGATCATTTTTGGTTTATTGAAGAAACATTTGCCTAAGCCATGCCATTCGGCTATTGTCTTTTTTTGCACAAGGCATTAGATAAGAGGTGGATTGGAGTGCACTTCACTGCATAATCTGTTGAAGACTCATCAACAGAACAATATTTTTAAAGACAGATTGGATTCTGGACAACAACCTTATAACCTTGCAACTGTGTAACCTGTCTTTTTGCCTAAACAGGTCATCAAATACCTCACTTTTTCTGAAGTTCGTTTTTTTTTCTTGATCTCCATGTCCTTGATGGTTAGGGATAACGTTTTTACTATAGAATTGTACAATCAAAGAGTTGGACCCTACTAACTTAAAGAATTGTTTTTGGAGTTCCCATGTTGAATTGGGAATCCAAACAATCAACACAAAAATCAAATATAAAGTAACTCATGTCAACCAGTCACTTTGCACAGCATCAGCACCAATTTACTGAATAAGCCTGTTGGGGTCCAAACTTAGAAATTACTCAATACAACTGGTCTACTGTCACCCCCCTATCACTTTGCAATTCCTTCATCCATTAAACTCATAACACTAATGCAAGTTTTTCAGCAAGCATTTCAGTAAAATGCCATGCAGTATTCCAGATGTAAGATCCTGATAAATAAAACCGTTGCAATTTCTGACTGATGTACTTAATAAGTAATTAATGTGGTTACCTTTATATTCCACATAGTAAAGAACTGGTCGGTTGCAATATATGGGAATGTTGGTGCATCAGTAGAATGATGCAGTGGTACATGATACAGAATGATGGAACTCAGTGATGCAGCATATTTAGATGGTATCATGCTTCTTTTATCAGGAGACCCACAATGTTTAAAACGGGATGGAGTTAGTAAAAGTGACTTTAGTTTTGCTGAATATGGCCGAATTTGTAGCAGCCAGATTGCTTGAAACTGACTTGCTTTTAAATGTCAATTGTTGGGAGGTACCTGTAAGCATTATATCATCATCATCCTATGCACTATTCTTGTTGTAAGCAAGTCCAAATAAAAACTTAACTGTTCTATATTAAGATCAGGAAATGCTGAGAAGTCACATGACCAATCACTTTACTGCATTGGATAAACATTACCTGTTTTATTTTTGTTTTATAACATCCAAATGCTATTATGTTACCTTATTGTTTGTTACTAATCTACAAGGGTTTACTCATACGTACAAGGGGGTTATCTCTTTAAAAGTTGCACAGTTTATCGTAACAAAAACTTTATAGGAAATATGTATAGGCAGTTAACACTTTATGCTCTCTTTCAACCATTAATGCTTAAGACAAACGCTTCTTTTATTGGTACAGTACTGTTAATTTTTTCTTTTGTACAATTTTTTTGACTCTTGCTCCAATGTTTTTGTTTTCATTCTCTTCAGTGTAGCAACAGTTGGTTATTGTGAGGGTAATATTACAGGAATGATATAATCTATCTAAAGAAGGTTAAGAATATTATTATTATTCGTGCCATCTAAAGGCAAGCTTTCATTTTACTGCACAGGGTTCTTGTTTCCTGTACGCAGTGGAGGGAAGCCATTTTGAGCAAGGGGCCTTTATTCAGTTTACTGATAACTAAGCACCTCCATGCCACAGCGAGGTGACTCTTAGATTGCTGATTGGCTGCTCGCTCATGAAGAACCGTTTAGCCCTCAAAATGGCTGCATCCACTGTTTAGGCAACAGGTACACTTTAAAGGTCCAGTAAACCTAAAATACAATTAACCTGTGAGTTAAATAGCTAAAAAAAAAAACACATATAAAGTTCTCATTTCTGTACAGAACTTAGATATGGGAATACAGATACTTGAGGTAATTCTATCATTCATTTTAAGCTAAACAAAAAGCTAATGCTGTCCTCAGGACCTAAACTTTATCTCAGTTATCTTTATTAATTGCTCTATATTAACTTTTACATGTATATCTTTAATTGTTATGATTTTTTTAAATATATATATATATAAACCAACTTGTACTTCAGGTTTACGGGCCCTTTAAGTCGCAATATACAGAATATATTTTTCAATTTCATTATTGTATCAATCTTTTTTT